CTTTGTATATTTAAATACTTTTTTCTTTTTTATATGTAAAATAAACTATATATTATACAATATATTGATATATATATATATATATATATATATATATATATATATATATATATATATATATATACTGCAGTATTATATCTTCAACTACTCTAATTGAATTATGCTAATTTAAAAAAAATCTGTCTTAGTACGTACGTATCACTAAAAATTCGGATCTATTTTGTGACCAAACCTGTAACATAATCATTAGTTACGATAATAGTACAAAAACCTGAGACATTACGGAGATCTTGACATTTATATTTCCTTTTTACACATTACGTGTTTGTCACAGAAAACGCAAAATCCCGAATACGAACGCCGACAATAAATTCATATTATGTAACGTGTCGGCTGGATCGACTTTAATAACCGATTTTGCCTCGTCTTTCCTAATATCAACAGGATAATGAAGGTGATAGTAATTGATGATAAACACGATAATGGTTTTAACTAACCCAAATTTGAAGTAAATGACAAAATTAGGTAGGGTACATAAAAAAACGTTTATTTATTAAATGTACGCCACGTCGTTTCTTAACGTATTAGATCACGAGAAAGGTTCAGGCGTTTTTTTATTACTAATAGATCCGATAACTTAAAATCATATGCAAGTTTGTAAATGAAAAAAAATAGGGAATCTGCACATATTTTGATTTTCTTGTGAACAAATATAATAATGTTGTGTGTTATAAATTTTGCAGTTTAAAATTTATATATATATAAAATAACTTTAAGAAAATTTTTTGAAATTTTTTCGCTTTAGATAAATTTTTTTTGGTTTAAAAGGATTTTATAGCAAATAAGAATAATAATTTATTAGCTTTTTTTTATAAAAACACATAATGCCTCTGTTCATTACTGGTACAACGCTTGCAATTGGTGGGATAGTTTTATTATATACTATTCAATTTGATATGCTCTATCCTTCAAATTGGCCGACTGGATCAAGAAAGTTTGTAAGTATTATGATAATGCAATTATAAAGCATAAATTATAAAACCTTTATTAATATTCTAAATCTCAAAAGGTAGCGAGACCATCTAAATACGGAATTCCATATTCAGAAGTAACAATATCAACGAAAGATAAAGTTCGGCTTAAAGCATTTGTCTGTAAACGTCCAATAGATCAAGAAGCGCGCAAAAGGCCAACGATATTGATGTTTCATGTAATATATCAAATAATTTATAAATAAAATAATTGATTTGATTAAATAATATTATCTGATTTATTACATTTAATAGGGAAACGGAGGAAATATGGTAATTTTTTAAATTTGAACACATGACCGTTAATACGTTCGGATTAATGTTAATACTAAACGAAAATAAAATTTCCAAGGGCCATCAATTACCAATTGCTGAAAGATTTTACAAAGATTTTAAATGCAATGTTGTCATGCTTTCATACAGAGGGTAAGTATATACAGTAATTACAATGATATGCATTCACTTGCACCAAATTTTTTTTCATGCAAATACCAATGAAATAACGTATTTTTTTAGTTATGGTCGTAGTGAAGGTACACCGTCTGAAAAAGGATTGCGCATTGATGCACAGGTATGCCCAAAATTGACATATTTTACATAACGTTGAAAATGATAATGACTTTTTCCATATTTGGAATTGTAAGGCTGCATTGGATTATATTAAAAAGAATGAAGTATTTAAAGATACGAAGCTTATAATTTATGGACAGTCATTAGGCGGAGCTGTTGCAATCGACCTGGTCTCAAGATATGAGGAACAAGTTGACGCGTTGATTATCGAGAACACATTTTTGAGTGTGGTAAATTTTCACAAATATTTTTTTTTTAATATCGATATTTGCTAACGTATATTTCATTAACTTGCTGACATAAAAAGCCAAAATTAGTTCCACATCTTGTACCACAACTTCGTTATCTAACATTTTTGTGTATTCAATTCTGGTCATCCGATAAATCCATAAAAAATATTAAGCAAACGCCCATTCTATTTTTATCTGGTTCAAAAGATGAGATTATACCACAACAACATATGAAATCGTTATATGAACTAGCACAACCGACGGGGGGGAAAGAATGGAAAGAATTTAGTAACGGAATGCATAATGATACAACTTTACAACCGGGCTATTTTCAATATATTGGTTGGTTTATAAAAAAAAATCTAAGCTTAAACGAATAAATATCTAAATTTATTGATAGTGTATATATACTAACTGATGAATGAATGGATGAATGAATGGATGAATGAGTGGATGAATGAATGAATGAATCATATACAGATATAAGCAGCGTTGTTTATCGCTATTCTCATTAATGAAAAGTCCAATTACAACGCTGTCATACAAATGTTAAAATAAATGTTAAAATAAATGTTAAAATACTCGTTTATGATTCGCATAGCCAATTTTATAAGATAAGTTAAAATGTTACCACAAATAAGGTTTTAGTTTAATTAAAGCTTGCCGAAAAGAATTTTGGTGGTATGGCGAATTAAAAACGAGCTATGAGGATATAAACAAGAATGCACTTTAGTTTAAATGCATGACATTGTGGTGGTGTTTATTGCCTTCTATTGAAATTTCACTCCACTGTATGTACGTATTAAATAATCAATGAATATTTCTGTATAAATAATAAATTTCAAAAGCGGTGATATAAATTTTTCAATTGATACACACATACTGTATTTCGAAATTGACTTAATACAGTACTGTATAAGACATTTCAATCATTAATATTAAATGTTACACGTTGATACTGTATATTTGGTATATCGATATAGCATTGTGTATTTTGTCATAACATTAAATTTGATTCATATCATATATCTTATCGATATCTATACGTATGAAACTAAAGATTACATTGTAAAGATAATGATCTAGACCATCTATCTATTTAAATTATTTGCTTATCGCATCATGCAGACGGATTGTCAATCACAAAAGTTTAATTTTTTTGATAATCAATTTTAACCTTTTATGGGGAGGCTAAATGGAGTGGAGTAGATTAGCGGTAGTTCATAAAATTAGAGCCAGTTTATGGTTAAAAACTCCCTTACATTTTTTTTTTTATTAGTTCTCCGAAAATAGGTTAGGGACCCGTTTAATGTTTCCATTTTCTTACCTTTGTAACAACTCACGATTTGATTGGTCAATCAATGCAATCTTAATTTAGCCTTTTTAATTCCCCCAATTTTTTACATTTCCACCATTGTAAAAAAATATTATGTAATAGTCATTACGTAGTGCTCAGTACAATCAAACAAAAATTTGACAGTCAAAATACTTGTGATTAAGTCGGACATCAAACAATCGCAATACTATATACATATCTGATATATGAGTGCGTGAGAGTGAAAATCAGGAAATAAAATTTATGATTGGTTAAATTTTATTTCCTGATTTTCACTCTTACGCAATCACAAGTAATTTGACTGTCAAATTTTTGTTTGATTGTGCCGAGCATTAATGGTTATATCCTGGGTATAAGCGGAAATGAAATTTCCGTTTATATACATAGTATCCATGGTATAACTGATTTATACCCTGCAATCTTGATATAGTGATCAAGGTATAACTGATAATTATACGGTATACTATATCTTAACTGGTCAAACTTTGTATATAGAATAATTAACATTTTCGAAGATCTCGAAATACAGGAATGAACATTATTCAAAAATTGGACCCTTTAAAATACATATTCAATTTTGAAATAATGTTCATAGGCGTTTTCAAATAATATATACTTTATATAATATCGATATATCGATTGATTTATGTATAATAACAGTAACGGTAACGATTAGACCCAGAAAATTGGGGCCATTTTTTTTTTTTTATCTCGAAATAGTGCACATTGACGTGTTCAAAATACTATACAGATGAGCAAAATGCAGAAATGATCTGTTATTTCGAGATTTTTATATGCAGTATATATAATGATAAGGATTCCAAAGTTTCATTGGGTATACTATATATATACAGTATATAAAAGATAACTATCGTAAATGGCCGGATCAAGATCCCCTAGATAGTAGATCCGCTATGTAGTGTTGTTAGCCGGCTTAGTCGTCGACTAATATCACACTTTTGAACAATGGGATATGTAGAAATATGCTGCATATTTTATTGTTTTTAAGTGTGATATTAGCCGATGATCAGTCGATGATTTGGTCGACTAACAACACTACCACTACAGTATGTACTATACCCGGGTCTACAATACAGGATAAAAAATTTTGGTAAAATGTAAAGACCCAAGTATACAAATACCGGCATGAAAAAAACTAAGAAATATTATGAAATAGAATAAACCCTCCATTTATCAAATCCACACCCATACAAGAGACCCGTGGGTCTAATTATAAGTTTTAAAATTGGTGAAATGTAATAGACCCGGGTCTTGTATCCAGCCATTTACAGTACATAGAAGTTGGATTGTATTTTGATTTTTTTTATATAAAACACAGGTATCTATGTAATAACTCAAAAAATTTGTTTATAAAACTACTCTTTGGGTTTTAACAAAAAAAATTTACTTTTTAACCCTAATTCTAACTCTAATTTATTTTATAATTTTAATTCAACTTAATCTTTTCTTTAATCTTTGCATTATATTTATCTCAAATTATACCGATTTGATATATAATTGCGGCAAAAAACTATTTTCTTGCTGATTTAAATTAAAGGTAAAACATTCAATATTATGAAATGTTTTTAATAGTTATTAATCTAGAATAATTAGATACTTTAAATTTATGAGTTAGTTAGAATTAGCATTTTGTGCAAATTCAAAATATTCCACTGGAAAAAATTATTTTGTAATATATATATATATTATATAAAAAATTAGCTAAATTATTCAAAATATGTATCCCATGTGCGTCCCGAAATAACGCGCACCATCTTTTGTGTAACTTAATTGGCTGTCAGATGCGAAAGTATCTGAGCCTCAAAACAATCACGGGTGTATGTTAATTGATCAGTTGATACATTGTCATGATTTTATCGTATGATTTCGTTTCGTGATTTTATCGTATGATTTCATTTCGTGATTTTATTGTATGATTTCGTTTTATGATTTTATCGTATGATTTCGTTTCGTGATTTTATCGTATGATTTCGTTTTGTGATTTATCGTATGATTTTCGTATGTGATTTTGAGATAAGTAATTCATGTTTTTTTCCTGCTAACCTGACTTTGTTGGTTTTTTTTGTTCCACCAGAGCTCAAAGTTTTCCGTGATGGTCGAAATTACATATATATGCTAAGTAAAATTTTATAGAATTAAAATAGATTTAAAAGCTTTATGCCAGATTAACTTTGAAGGACATATATGAAAATAGATATTGATTAAAAAATTTTTATTATATTATACTGTATATATTATCTTCTTAGAAGGGTTTATCAGCTAGTGAGTTACATTTTAACTATACAGTGCAAAAAAATAAACACATTTCAAAGGAAACAATTAGAAATATGTTGAGAAATAATAATTATACCTCTTACATAAAGCCTAAAAAACCCCTTCTTAGTAAAGATTCTAAAATGAAAAGATATAATTTTGCTAAAGAACATTTAAACTAGACTGCTAATTATTGGAAAAAATAGTCTTTTCAGATGAGAGCAAATTTATATGTTTCAGGTGTAATCTTTGTTAGTTTTACTAAAAACAACCAGAAGATCCATTTCAAGATAAATATGTTAAAGCAATGAAAAAATTTGGAGATGGTATAATGTTCTGGGGTTGTATTACTTTTCGAGATGTTGGCTATTTATGTTGTATTGAGAATACCTTAGATTCAGAAGCCTATCATATAATTTTAGCTAAAGAACTTTTTGGCACCTTATTACAATACAATTTAAGTGTTAATAATATTATTTTTCAACATGATCAAGCTTCTTACAAATTAGGCAATACTAAAGATTGGCTTTATTACAGAAATCTTGAATTTCTTAAATAGTTTTTATACTTACCTGATCTAAATATAATAGAACCTTTGGGGTATAATAAAGCAACATTTAGAAAAATTATACAAGAAAAATATAGGATATAGTCAATATTAATATTATTAACATATAGGAACCCCATAGCAAAAGGATGTATTGGGACAAAAATTTTAATTTTGTAATTTTATAAAAATTGTAATCCTATTAGTCTAATTCTTCAAGAAATCAATTAAAATAAAAAAAATTTTTTGGCCCAATGCACCCTTTTGCTGTAGGAGGTCTCATATGAATCTATGCCAAAAAGAAAGGTTTTATTATTTCCCCAACAATTACTTCATTGACAAATCACTTCCCTGACAAATTACCTTTCTGACACAATCATTTTCCCAACATAATTAGTTACCTGACATTCCCTTCTCTGATTTTTCTAACTAAAACTATCTAGTATCATTGCAAAATATATTTTTTTATAAAACTTACATAGTTCTATAAAGTTATATAAATGTTATATAAAATTTTTATATAGATTTACAAACCCAATATAGACTTATATAGTTAAAATTTTTAGATATAATTTAATATACTGTAATATATATTTATGTATGGTTTAATTATATATTATTTATATACAGTCAGACCTCCTTAAGTGCATGTTGTCGGGACTAGCACTGAAGCATGCATTTAGGGAGGTTGCAATTAGAGAATAGCCAATAATATCATAGTAAAAATGATGATTACGTGACAACAGTTTAGCCAATAGCTGTTTACTATATTTCTTACTACCATATAAGAGCATAGCAAGCTTTCATTCTGATTGGTCAATTGCCAAATGTATCGTCACATATTACATCACATATATTATTTGACTTTAAACTTGGTAGCTATAAAAACAAATTATTTAAGGATATGACATATAAATTCTAAAACTACACCTTTTATTCTACCTACAGTAAAAATAATCCAGAAGTTAGCAACAAGATATACCTTTTGTTTTATAGGTTAAGGTAATTTAGCAATTAGCAAAGTAATTCTACCTTGGCTAATAAGTATTAGTATTAAGCTTTTTTTTAAAAAAAAAACTTGAAAATAGCAATTTAAACAACAGTATTTACAATTAGTTTTTTTTTATTTTTTTTTTTGAGTATAGATAAATCGACTAAGTTTTTAAAAGGCTACAATATATAGATATAGAGTATATAGAGTATGTACTTTAAAAAAAAAACTT